CTTTAACATCTTCTGCCCTTCATCAGATTAAGATCCAAAGCAAGATTCTTATTATTTGGACTAGGCCTAACAAATATATTTTTCATTCTACTGCTACCAGTTGGGGCTGATATTCTATACCTTGCTTATAGAACTAATCACAACATTTCAGGTTGTGCTTGAAGAGAAGGTAAGGAATCTGTGGAATCTATGGCCCTGTACATGCTGTTGGATTACAATTCGCATGATCCGACTATTCACAATGTTGCCTAGCACTTACACGTGTTAGGATACAACATCTGGACAGCCACAGGTTCGGAAACCTGTACTGGAGTGTCTGAACACCACTTGCTAAACATCTGCTGCCTGAGTGCTTATACAGTAGTTCAAGAATCGCTCAAAGAACAAAAGGCAAATTAAAATGTCAGTACCTTAAATCTGTCATACACATTTCTGTTATAGCCTCACTTTAAACATGGTGCACAATTCTGGCTATATTTTGAAGTATAACAAAAAGCTGGAAAAGGTGAAGAAAAAGACTACTAAAATGATCAAAACAGTAACATAACTTATTTATGAGGAAAATTACAACAGTTGAGACTTTTTTAGCTTCCACCCCCCCCCCCAAAAAAAGGCAACCAAAGAGGGACATGATAGAAGCACAGAATTATGCCAGTAGGTTGAAACACACAGAAGGAATAGCTGTTTTCCCCTCTCAGAATACCAGAATCATCAAATTGGAAGGGCATATTGAGGCCCTCAAGCCCAACCCCTGCTCAGGGCAGGAATCCAAATTAGAAACGTATTTGACAGATGGTCATCTAGCTCTGCTTGAACATATCTAGTAATAGGGAGCCCGCTACATCTTTGCATTGTTGGCAAAATGGCTCTTACTCTTTGGAAACTCTTTCCTAATATTTCCTTGAAATGTGACTTCCTGTAATATAAATCCATCATTCCATGTACTGCGCTCTGGAATGAGAACATAACTTGAACTTCTACATGACATTCTTTCAGATATCCAACGAGTGCTATCATAACCCTGACAGTCATCTTTTCTCAAGACTAAACTTACCCAACTCCTTCAATCTCTCTTCATAGAATTTCATATCTAGCCATGATTGTGCTTGATGCCATTCTCTAACTTTGTTCCATCTTCTCTTAATCCTTCTCTGAACTGGACACAGCATTTGAGGTGGGGTCTGACTAAAACAGAATGCAGTGCAACAACTACTTTCTGTACCTCAAAATTATAGTTCTGCTGAAATACTCTAAAACTGCATTTTGCAGCCTCATATTCAGTTTGCAATCAACTATTACAAGATCTTTTTTACAAGTACTATTGCCAAGCCAGGTAATCCCATCTTGTATCGGTGCCTTTGATTTTGGTTTGCTGAAAGAGAACTTTGCAATTTCATTTTATTGCTTTCAACCCATTGCTCTAATCTATCAGATTGTTTTGAATGTTATTTCTTTCTAGGGAATTAGCTAATTCAGCCAACATTGTGCCATTTGCAAAACAAATAAGCCTTCCCTCCATCTCTTCATCCAAATATTAATAAAAACATTAATGAGTAGAGGACCCAGAAGTGAACCTTGTGATACCTCACTCAATACCTTTCTCCAATCTAATGAGCAATCACTGAGTAATACTCCAAGTCATCTAGGTATCCACTTAATTGTCATGCCATCTATCTACCACACATTTAACTAGCTTGTTGATCAGCATGTCATAGGGTACTTTGTCAAATGCTTTGCTGAACTCATGATGTATTATTTTGGCTTTTATTTGTTAGATTTATTTTATATTTTTCCTTCAGGAGCTCAGGGCAACATACATAGGATTCTTTTTGCACAGTACCTTTGGTGTACATTGACAGAATATTAGGGGCAATTATAAAAAAAGATATGCCATATTTGCAATTCTTTTTGTATTTTTCCATCACTTGCTTCAGGGTGGTAGTATTTATTTGTCAAAATTATATTCCACCTTACATAGCTACTCCTTCCTCCCATTTTTCTCTACTACAAGTAGACTGCCCCAAAAACCCCAAGTGAGCTGAGGGTGGATCTGAACCTGGGCCTTCTCAGTCCAACACATTAATCACTACACCATACTAAAGCATTCCTACAGTCTATTAAAGATATTAATAAAAAATGAGGTAAGATTAGCTTGGCAAGATTTGTTCCTGATCTCTTTATGATCTGCTCCAGAATCTTCCCAGGTATAAATGTCAGACTGACTGGTCTATTGTTTGCTATATCTTTCTTTCTCTATTTCTGAAAACAGGGACAATATATGCTTTCCTTCAGGCATCTGATGCTTCATCGATTCTTCAGGATTTCTCAAGGATAATATGTAAGGATTCTGCCAGACCATCAGCTATCTCCTTCAGGACCCTAGGATGCAATTCATCTTGTCCTGATGATTTAAACTCATCTGGTCCTGGTGATTTAAAGTAAAGAAGTATTCCCTGACCATATTTCTATCAATTTCAAACTTCGACCCTGCTCTTCACAATTTCCTGGTACACATATGTTTTTGTTGAAGAAAACTGATTCAAAATAGAAGTTCAGTAGTTCTGCCCTTTCTTTGTTACCTGTTAGCATTTTGGAATGTTTTTTGATCAGCTAGTATGATGAGTCTTTTCCTTTTATTTTGAACATTTTTTTTTAAAAAAAAACACTTGCTTGCAACTATACAATCAAGTTTTTAATTCAGCACTCCAGTTCAATGACCTCTTTTGCACAATGCAAAAGTAATGAGTAAACATTTCTCACACATCAGAAATGTCCATTTTGATCAGGCACTGGCTCCAATTGCTTTCTTATGACATAGGTTTCCAAATATGAGAAGGAGAAAAAAGGGAGGAAAAAAATAACCAAAATGTAATTATAGTAAAAATCCCACGTTTCCAACTCATAAATCATACCCTTTACGGTTTGTCTGATTTCATTGCACAAACACACAATTTCATTTCTTTTTTAAAGATGGCTTTTAACCTTCCCACCCACACTTTCCCTTGAAAAAAAGGAGCTTCTCTTCTTGTATTTTACAGATTAACACGACACACTTCAAAAATCTCCTGAGCTGTTCCTATGTCCCAGCCGTTAACAGATCCCTTTGAAGCACATCTAAATGGGATATTCCATTTGCAAGTAACACTTTGGTAGTCAAAAGATCTTACTCAGAGGGGATTTAATGCAAAACCACTCAGACTGGAAAGAGACACACCATCAGAAACGAAGGGCTGAGAAGTGTTTCCAAGTCCTATGTAACACCATTATGGAGGGTGTTGGCTTAGGAACTGTCATAAACACTTCATAATCACTCAGACACAAACCGGGTTGCCTGGAGCACATTAGTTTATTAAGTGCTGAATAGGTGTCCAGCTGAATAGAGAGCAAAAGTACAACACTACAGATAAAAGTGAATTTTGGCGTGGGACTTTACATGATATTAAAGGGCAGGAGCTTGGCAGAATTTTCCAAAGGAAAAATAGGCCTCATTTCTAAATATAGAAATGTAAAATGGAGGTAGCACTACGCTGTTAAAGAGCACGCTTGCACATGTGCACGCCTTGAATTTTATCTTTGGGGAAGAGGAACAGATTTCCTTGGTAACATTCTATTTTTTTTCCCTTAGGGACACCAGAGACTGATTGGGCTAAGCCACTGAGAAACGGTGTGCATGAAATGACTTGCTCACAAAAAAACCATCTTCACCTGCAAAGAATAATTACCGGGAGCTGTGGATATACTCAAAGGTGCATTCCTAGGCCCATGGAAAGTTTGTTGAAGGCGCTGCTGAAACTCACTGATTTAAGGCAGTGATCTTTAAAATGCATACCAGGGAGGTCTGCAATTTCTCAGGACTTACTACATTAGCAATACAGATGTGTGAGGGTCAAACAACATGAATAAGCTTCTTCCTCTCTGAAGAAGGCAATCTACTCAAGAGTTTCCCTTAAAATATACCGTAGGATACGGCTACCTAGGGCAACTCTCCACCTAATCTACTCTGTGAGTGGGAAGAATCCTCATAACCCTTTGCAACAAGCAGAGGCTCTCCTGAGGACAGCATGTGCTGGGGGCAGAGGACATGAAAATCCACTGCTTTTACTTGAATGACCATTCGTGATGCAAAATATCCTGTCTGCTTCTTTTGTTCCCAACCACCTTTAGCAGTTCTGTACTGCCCATGGTTCTTGATACAGCCAACCTTGCTTTTAGCTCAGTACTTCAGCGACACCTAATGCTCATTTGCAGAAATGACAGGTGGTAGAAAAGCAAAACTTTTTAAAAAGAGGGGAACTCATCTGTTATATATGAAGACAGATTCTTAAACTGCATACTATCTGTAAACAGATATATATGTATCTTCAAAATATATCAGTAGAGCAATCCAATCCGGCTCTTTCTGAATGTCAGGGTCTTGTCCCACACAAAGTTGCTTTAGGCCACAACAGAAAATTGTTAGCATTATCTGCTGTGGGAGTAGGAAGAGATATGGATCAGACTTGGACTGGGGAAACCCCACTAAATTCTCAGACTTTATAAAAATAACCAAGAAAGTTATTTTATACCAGATCCATTAAGATATCTACCGCATCCTGTATTAATTGGCAGTGGTTCTCCAGGATCTCAGGATGACAGCCTGCCTCCTCCCTTTACATTCTAATTACAATCCTTTTAGCTAGAGATACTTGTGATCCAAGCTGGGCCTTCTGCACAAAACACGCCTCCTTGTCACTCAGAGGTCCAAAAAACACTTCCAGTGCTACTTATTCTTTTAAATCAGAAACACACACAGAAAAAATGCAGCTTTATAACCTTCATTTCAGAGGATCTTAAGCTTTGGGCAGAGATTATGCCATCTCACTGAAATTCCGTTTACTGTCTATGGCAGGTGCCTTTCCCTTTTCTTCTGATATAAGCATTCAGACCTTCCACCACACTACTGAATATTAACACCATTTGAAACAGAATGGGCATCCAAGGAACCCCTATGAGATACTTACAGGTATGCTCCATATCTGTATCCCATCACTGTAGCCAATCATGAGCAGAAGGGGAGGTTCATTGCCAGTGCTGTGCATCTCATGCAACTCCACGTTCCTTAACGTATCTAAAAAAATTCAGAAAGAAATCAAAGTCAGCAGCACCAGACTAGGACAATGCTAGATGTATTTCATTATCTCTGGAGAAATTAAGGGGGGGGGGGAAAGCTATGTTATTTCATTAACGTGCCTCAAAGTGTCAGCAACAGTGCTCTGATTGGCCACTTGAGAAACAAGGATAACAATGCCCATAACCGAGGCTTTGGCCAGCTCACAAAAGCTGAGTGCAGATAACAGCAGTTGAGCAACTGGGAGTTCTTAAGACTGTTGAGCACCCAAGAAGAAATCTTTGTATCATGACATTTCAGGTGAGGCGGGACAATAATTGCTTGGTAAAGTCCCTTGAACTGTTAGTGAAAGCATTAAGTTAGTTTTTTTTTACAGGACTCTGAGCAGTGTTCAGGATCAAACTGAAAGAAAACAATCAATCAAAAATAAACTGTAATTAAAAAAAAGTTAAATCAGAAGGCAAAAAGTAAAGATAAACCCCCTAATAATACCCATGATAAGCACCCACCATTAGTCAGCTGGAACTAAAAGCGTGTTGTTCTGGCCTGTTTCTGGAATTGCAGCAAGAGGGGCTACACAAGCTTCTAGAAGGAGAGTATTCTGTAAGAGGGGGGTTATTCCAGAGAAAGCCTGCCGTATCACCCACGCCCCACAGAAGAGAGAATTTTCAGCAGCCCCTCTCTCACTGAATGGACCAGACAGGCAGATTTAATTCTAGCAAGGTGTTGCTCGATGTATCCTGGTGCTGCACCATTTACACTTCCAAAAATAATGTCCAACTAGGTGTTTGTTACATCTAGCTTGTAAATCTACATCTGGATGCCCCAAGCACAAATCACCATCCAACAAATATTGAGTGCTGCTGCACAGAACTTGACAACATTGTATGGTGTAGCAGGGTTGATATCTGAAAGGAACAGGGTAGTGTAAAATTGTCCTGTGTGCCCTGGGTATTTATGTAGCAATGGCAAGATGGATGTCTCTGTAGTACAGGCACTGGAGAAGCACATGCTCTGTTGTTTCTGTGTGTCCAGAGTCACAGGAGCATCATCTCTCCAAGTAAGGAATCTTCCTATATCAGCCTTCAAGGACAGCTGAGGGAGGGCATGCCATTATACCAGAGTAAAGGCCCTTCTGTGACTACATACTTCAAGTTTAGTTAGGCATGCCATGGGGGAGGCAGAGGACCTATTGGATTCACTGGCAATAAGGTTTGGGGACCTGGCTAGATCCAACCTGCACTCTGTGTCTCCCCTAACCACAGTTTCCACCTCATTTGGGGAAAGGAGCTATATTTGCTTTAATATTTATCCAACCATCCATTTCCAAACATTTTCCTCTAAGCCTCTTGAGAATTACCAATTATTGTCAACAGTCCCCAAATTTGATACAACTATGCAATCATTCACATAATTTATGTTAAGAGCAAGTATCCAAAGTAGGTAAATGTGAGCCTCCACATAATCTCAATCATTTCTATAACTGTCTGGAAAAAGAGATATCTATTTTTTTGTCTTTCAGGTCACAGACAGCATCAATAGTTACCAGCTGCTGGCAAAGTTGAAATTTTTGAACATTCAGAGAATTTGGCTGGGAGTGTGATTGTTCACAATGAATGTGCATGTATACATTTCTGCAACAAACACAACTGTTATGGTCTCTGACTCAGAGAGGCTGAGGGGCCTGATCCAATAAGCTGTCAATCAAGGAAGCAGCAGGCACTCAATCCCCTGAAGCAAAACAGGGAGATGATGAGTAGGAGCAGATGAGGGCAGACTCAAATAATGAAGAGCCAGATCCTAGTACAGTCTCTAGCCCAAGGACAGGCCGGCAACTTTAAACAACAGTGCTCTGATTGGTCACTTGGGAAACAAGGATAACAATGCCCATAACTGAACTGTGCCCACAGCTGGGACTACCTGGAAACATCATCTATGGCCTCTTCTCCAGTGCTTTCTAGCCCTACCTCTTGCAGTTCCAACTGTGGACCTCTGGCTCTGGATCCCTGAACTCTTGGCTTCAACATGTATTGGCACTGCCGACACTGCAGCCAGACTGGCCTATATTTTGGCTGAAGCTTGTGTGCAACTACTCAGCTGAGCATTCTACCTGCCTTCTTA